AAAAAGCAGAGGGCACAAGCAAGATGTGCTCTTTACATGAAAACTATTTTAAATATGATATATACAGGTGCAAAGTAAAACAGGTGAAAAAGATATTCCATGAAAACACTACTCAAAAGAAAGTCTGAGTAGCTATGGTCATATCAGACAAAGTGGACTTCAGAGCAGGGAAAAATACCAAAAATAAAAAAAGAAGTTACATAACAAAGAAAGGGCTAATTAACTAAGAAGGCATAAAAGTTCTAAAGATGTATGCACCTAATAAAAGAGCTTCAAAATACATGAAGCAAAAACTGATAAACTAGAAAAATAGAAATGGAAACATCCATAATAACTGGAGATATCAACACTCCTCTCTGAGTAATTGATAAAATAAGTACACAAGAGAGTAAACGAGGATATAAAGAACTAAACAAAATCAACCAACTGGATGTAACTAAGATTTAGATCAGTAAGGCTTATTCCAAGAATGCAAGGCTGATATAATATCTGAAAATCAACACAATCCAACTGTTAACTAATGAAAAAAAAGCTACACGAGCGTATCAGTTAATGGAGAAAAAGCTCTTGACAAATTCAACATATATTCATGATAAAAGCTCTCATTAAACTGGGAATAAAAGAAAAATCCTTTGATTTGAAAAAAACGGCATCTAGGGAAAAAAACTACAGCTAACATATTTAATAGTGAAAGACTGAATGCTGTGCCCTCAAGGTCAGGAAGAAGGCCAGAATGAGTGCTTTCACATTTATTCAAATTGTGCTAGAGGTTCTAGCCATAAGGCAAGAAAAATAAATAAAAAGCAACCAGATTGAAAAGGAAGAAGTAAAGTTATCATTAGTTTCAAATGACATGATTATCTATGTGGAAAATCCAACAAAATCTAAAAAAAGCCACTAATGAGTTCAGCAAAGTTTCAGGATTGTACAAGTATAAAAATCAATTACGTTTATGTACAGCATCAATGAATATTCTGAGAAAGTAATTAATAGAACAATTACATTCACAATAGCATCAAAGAATACTTAGGAATAATTTAATAAAAGAAATGTAAGACATACATTGAAAACTGCAAAACATTGAGAGGAATCACATACCTAAAAAGAGATATTTAACATTCATGGATTGAAAGACAAAATATTGCCTAAGTGGCATTTCTTCTAAAATTGACCTATAAATTCAATGAACTCTTATCAAAATTCAAGTAGATTATTTTGTAGAAATTGACAAGCTGATCTAAATATTTATATGGAAATAACAAAGGATCTAAAATAATTAAATAATTTTGAAAAAGAGCATAGTTGGTGGATTCACATTACCCAATTTCAAAATATAATGTCACAGTAATCAGGACAGTGTGTTACTGGCACAAAGAAAGTTAGTTAATCAGTGAAATAGAACTGAGAGTCCAGAAATAAATTCTTAGATTTATGGTCAAATGATTTTCAATAAAGGTACCTAGACAATTCAACAGGGAAAGACAGTCTTTTTAACAAATGGTACTAAGATAATCAGAGAGCCACATGCAAAAAAACAAAATGAAGAACTTAAGACCTTTACCTCACATCACACATAAAAATTAACCCACAAAGGATCATAAATCTTATTTTCAACCTGTAGTTGAAAAAAGAGTTCTTACATATGACTCCAAAAGCATGGTTCACAAAGAAAATAAACTGATAAACTGGACTCTTAATAAATTAAAAACTTTTGTGCTTCAGAAGAGAAAATGAAGAGAAGCCACAGACTGGGAGAAATATTTGCAAATCGTGTATCTAATAAAGGACTTTTAACCAGAATGAAGAACCCTTATAACTCAATAATAAGACAAACAACCTAGTTCAAAAATGGGCAAAAGATTCAAAAAGATATGTCATCACGCAGATATACTGATGTAAACACAAGAAAAGATGCTGAACTACCTCATTTAAAAACAGACAAAAGATTAAAAAAGATATTTCACCAAAGTAGATACACTGATGTCAAATAAGCACATGAAAAGATATTCTCAACCTCATTAGCTTTTGGGGAAATGCAAGTTAAGATCACAGTTAAAGACTTCTATATACCTATCAGTATGGCTAAAATTAAACAACTGACCATACCAAGGGTTGATGAGGATATAAAAAAACTTGAACTCTCAGACTGCTGATAGTAAAGGGTTACTTTAAATATACTGCTGCATCATCTATGCTGATGTTTTGCTTTGGACTTTTACATAAATTATTGGATTACTTTTGATCATTTAGGAATTCAAAATTCTTATTTAGACACTATATCCTCTTGTACATTTGGAAGCTTCCCATGCTCTTACATTACCTATTTTTTAAAATAGTTAATACAAAATAAACAAAAATTAATTTACAACTATCTGGTGAGTAAGGTGGTCAATCAAAGTGAATAATGCTACGTTTAGATAAAATTATGTCTGAATACATGCTGCGGGTTGAACACTATGAAGATAAATCAATCGTTTGATCTTAGTTGCTTTCTCATTGCAGAAAATCCCTCACATACTTTATGATGTCCATGATAAAATCAGATCATACGTGATTTTGAGAATTCATCCCACACAAAAGGAATCATAAATTCTAAATTGTTTAAGAGATTCTTTTAAACAAGTATTTTCTTTGACATCGCATAACATCTCCTTAGTTTGAAAGATACTACAGTTTACTATCATAATGATACTGTACCACAAAATGTAAGCACCAACAACAGGGACTTTTTCTTGTTTTCACTGCTGTAGCCCTTGCAACTAGAACAATGCCTGGCCGTGGCAGACATTCATTACATGTTTATTGACTGAATGAATGAATCCTGATTATTATTGTCTTTAAAAATAAAGGAAAAAAAACTTATTGTCTCTTTTGCTTTAAAATTATCAAGTGTTTGTTCTTTCTATTCATCGGCATAGCACAATCTTTTTAAATACTCTATGTCCTCTTTTAGCATGATTTTGTTTCTTGCTTAATCCAACGTGTTCTTACATTGTCACAGTTAAGCATCTATTTGAATGTACTAAATCTTGACAGTAACATTTTAAGATATCAAGTATATCACAGATTTGATGCTGTGAAATAATTTTTTCTACTGCAACTAAAAAGAGCTTTCATGTTTAATCACCATAGCTGTTAGCCTAAGTGGTCTCCAAAGCAGGCAGTGATTACAACCATCCACTGAAATCTGAGAAGAAAATCTTATAACACTGATCTATATACATTTTTAATTTCATTCTTTAATTTCTATTTTTGAGATTTTATATTTTAATAACAATAGATAACATTTATGGAGCACTTACCATGTACCAGGTAACATTCTAAGGAAATACATTAATTCACTTAATCCTCACAATAATCCAGTAAAGTACATAAAATTACTGCCCCATTTTACATGTGGAGAAACTGAAGCATGAGTTAGATGTCGTTTCTTGTTTGTTTTTTAGTGGCTTGCTCAACTTCATATTGATAGAGGCAAGATTAGAATTCAATTAATCAGATTCCACTTTCTTAACCACTATACTACACTCTTTATAATATACTGCAGTTCAGTAGTATATACACACAATTCCAAATAAATAAATATTAATGCATTAGCAATTTAAGCTCAAAGTGTTTTGTTCTAATTGTTTTTTATTGTTGGGGATATAAGATCAAAATAATATTGGTATCAGTGATATAGGACACATTGAAAGTCTTGCACCTATGTTTAAGAAAATCCTTGTGATAATGATTCTTGATGAGCTATAAGAAAGGTAATCTTATAAGTCATATTTTAGCCCTACCAACTAGACAACTACCTGTAGTAGTTCTTTCTTCATTTCAGACATTACATAATTCCTGAAAAGCTGTTTATAATAAAAAAAATTGTGAATTCAGTCATAATTCTCAAGAAAAAACTGATCCCAAAATATAATCACACTTGATTATATTGATAGTAGAAAATAATAGTATTTATTCCTTCAAATATTCATATCTAATTCCCTTAATAAGCAATGAAAGAAACGTCAATTAAATGCATCCACTCTTTACACATTAATATTCTAAACAGAAAAACTCGGGTTTCTCATTTCATTGAAAATCCTCAAAAGCTCCAGATGATAATAGGACTATAGCTAACGAGAAACACAAGCCTAAGCAACACAGTCAACTTATTTTTAGGGCAGCTCAAAACTAATAGATTAAGAGTTTATAATAGCAGTTTCAAAGTCCTCAATTTTATCTTTTATAAAATATTCTTTTTGAAAATGTTTGTCTCCATGATGTAGGAAAAAAATATCAATTTGGACCTGAAATCAGGAATGAAAATGAAATCACTAGTTGGTCTAGCTGGATTACATCAATGTGAAAATAATACATGTGAAAATAATATATAAACCTATGACATTAGTAATAACAATAATGAAGAACTCAGATGAGCAGAAAAGAGTCTTAGCAAATAAACCTAGGATTGGAGGACTGCTAAGCATATGCTATTTGAAATAATGTCAGAACTACATTTTAGAATTCGCTGTGAGCCTGTCCTACCAGACCTGGCAATGGAATCCAAAAATGTTACCACAGCTAATAAAGTAGCAGTATGAAGTCAGTAATTCTAGTTAGGTTTGAGAGTTGTAGGAGATATAAGTAGCAGAATGAATAAAAATGGAAAGACTGAAAAGGAATAAATACAGTTTAAGCAGACTGATGCCCAGATTTATAAATTACAGTGACTCGAGACATTTCATAATGCATATAGTATTTCCTGTAAGCATATATACTAGATTATTACATAGATTATTACATAGTAATATATAATATTTCCTATAAGCATATAGTATTTCCTGTAAGCATATATACTAGATTATTACTAGATTATTACATAGTAATATATTCATCTAATACATATTTAATAGTTAGCAACTGATCGAATTTTTTAAAAGATGAAAAATATTTGTATGTTAATAAATTGCATTTAAATATTTTTCAGAAAAAAAAAAAGTATCAGTTAATTTGGCTACCTTTGGTCCTGAAACTGAGTGGATGGCATTTTTGGCAGATAAAGGATGAGGAAAGGTATTCTGGAAAGCAAATGCAGAGGAGACAGGATAACCAATCCCACAAGCTGGGTAAGCCAGTCTACCATCAACCTAAAAATAAAACCGAAAAAAGGATGAGAAATTAGTTCTAAATAGTATATGCTGACTCAGGAGGCAATTGCATGTGCTATAATAACTAACAGTTAAAAGCACTACCTCAGAGGCCAATTTTGTTTATCATGATACCACAAAACTCTGTTTTATTATATCGTACAAGGCTGGGATACCTCGGCTTTTCAGAGTGGCTGGACAAGCTTAGACAAAACAAATCACTAGACCTGCCTTTGAACTAAGTTAAAACAGAGACCTCTGAACCATCTTGGTTCACTATGGCCCCCTCATTCCTGAAGAAGGGGGTAGGGGGCTAGAGACAGAGATCAATAGGCCAGTCAGGGATAAAATAAAAATTATTTTCTGTTGGATTGAGTAGAAAAAGAATCATCAACAAAACCAGTGTTCTTAAATGGACTAATTATTTGCTTTGACAATTTTCAACATAGTAACACCACCATTAACCAATGTCATGAAAACAATTTATTTTAATAAGAGGCCAACTGAAAACACAAATCTTAAGGAGTAATTGTGTACTTCACTGGCTTTCACACGGTTATTTATCATCAGTCATTAAAGGTAAGCTGTCAAGTTTTTTAAGTTTGTAATCCAGTATCAGGCACTTTTCCCCACACCTTTTCCAATTCAGCATAAATCCTTTCCCTTCTTTAAAACCAAGTACTCTGATTCACCGGGATAGATTAAAAATTCAATTAGGCATTTGAATTTTAAATCTTCTGCCAATGCTTTCCAGTCGATAATTGCTAGAAAGATGTCTATAGCTGTTCACACTGGATTTACTACTGCCCCATGAAATGAGGGAGACTGTACACAATGAAGAACCATGAGATGTCTCAGTAAGAGGATGTCCAAAGGGACTCATTTATTGGACTTAGTCATGTGTTCAATGTTTAAGGAACAGTTTAAGAAACTGGGGCTTTGCTATGGATTGGATGCTAGCAGAAAATAGGGATAACAAATTACTGGTATCTGAATAAATCTTATCTAATAAGGCAGGAAAAATGTACTAAGGCCAAAGCTGTAACTGGTAATAAAGCAGCAGTCATTCAAGTCACCAAGGATAGGAGGATGTTTGCCCATTTTTGTAGTTTGGCAATGTTTGCATTTTTGTCTGTGCTCAGACATGATTATGAAGTGATCTTGTTTTGTCTTGATCCATCACAGTCACAGGGTGGCCTTGTCTCATGATGACATTCTGTAAAACTGTTTATGTCCAACAGGAAACCACTCAGACCTAAACGTGAGTGCTAGTCCAGCTCCCAGCAACACCTAGGTCCACCTGATAGTACTAAGCCAGCTCTCAGATATAAGGGGCTGCTTTTCTTTTTCTCCCCTCATTTCTTGCAAGGAAAAATCAAAACAACTGTACCTGGAAAAGAGAAAGCGTCTCTTTCACAGCCAGTGTTTTTTAGCATCTAGAGCTGACAAGCCTGATAACAGGGCTTTTCTCTTTTCTTTTTCTGATAGAAATCCCATTTAGCTTCCTTCCATTGTAGTTCCAAACTTGAGCCTAAACCTTGTTATCCCCTCCTGAGGCCTTTTATATACTGTGTGTGTTTTAAAGTTTTTCAGAGCACTGGGCATTATTTTAGTTAATACTAAATGATTTCTATATCTATTAGAATCTTACAAAGAAGTGTGCCCTTGGACTACAGCCTCCTTGTTAAGAGCAAGTACACCTAAAGTTCCATTCAAGTGCAACTTATACTCTACTCCACTGCTAATAACTGCAGGACTCTAGTCCTATCGGTACCAGTACTTTTAGTGACGGAGACCTCCTAACAATCTGGGAATACTTTTTGTTTTAGGAAATTTACTAAGACCACTCACATCTTAATTTACATCTTACCACATTAGGGTTAGGAGAAATTCCACTTCTAATTGCGTTGCTACTAGAATGCACAGGTGGAGTGGCAGAAGGTCCCAACACATCTTGCTTTCTCACTAGCTGATTTTCATTTAGTTCTTTATTTAACCATGTGATTACTTACATAAAAGAACAAGAAACAAGGTAAAGAATTTTATTAGACTATTTGTATTTTTCCAATAATAATTTTAAACATTTAAAAATTATATTGAGGTTTTTAAATTTTTAAGTTTTAAAACTACCTTATATCACAAAGAAAGACGTAGGATAACTTAAATTTTTGTCATTAAAGATTCTTGCTTTAGCAACTGCTACATAAGACTCATTCTATTACTATCAGAAGTATGTATTTCTGCTAGCCAAGGATCTCCCTGGAGACTGTTATTTCTAGAATGATTTGTTTAAAATTCATACTTTTATGTCTGACAACCAATACTAGAAACTCAGAAAATGTTAAAGGCTTAATTTTATATTTTAGTTTCAAATAATCCTATTATTACTATTAGGTAAAAACAATTAAAAAAGAAAAATTTAAAAAGTAAATTATGGTTAATATTTTCAACACAATTTTGGGTTACTGACACATGTAATATGTGTTGGCAACTGTTTTACAGGGCAGATAATATAATTTACTATAGCAAAGACATTAATACAGTAGATTTAAAGTGGAAATTATTTGTATATAGCAATATCCTGATTTTCCCAGACTTCTATGAATTCAAATATAACGGTTTAAAATTGCAAAACTCATTTCCATAAAAAGATAACATACTTACACTTTTCATTATTTTTTAGAAGCTGTTTGCTTTCTTCAAGTTTTTGAACTGTAGCTTCTAATTGTTCTTGTAATCTGCATACCTGAAATATGTCAATCTTAATAAGCATAATGAAGACTAAAAAACTGAAGAAATGTAATACTATTAATTAGTTGATTATTCTTAAAGGAATCGACTTACCCATATATTTGCATTCCTATACACAAACAAATATACATAACATACAAACACTCGAGGTGTTTGACTCATAACTTTTCAAACAAAAACAGGTTAAATTCTGTTGAATCTAGTCATGTTCTTTGAAAAACAAAAAGAGCTGAACCCATTCTTAAACATAACAAAGTAGAATTTTCAAAAATATATCTGAGGAAATTTGTTATACTTTGCAATTACACACACACACACACACACACACACACACACACACACACGCAGGAGCATAAAGTATTAACTACCTCTTGCTCTTTATTTCTAAGAGACTGTCCAACATCTTGTAATTCCTTTTGTTCCTTTTGTAATTTTTCTTCCTTCTCAGCCAAGAGTTTCTCTTGCTGAATGGTAACTGTATTCTTCAGTTTCAATTTACCCATTAAAGTTTTCAGATCCCCTTGTAACTTCTTGATAATTTCATTTGCCTGTAAAAGAGCTTCATATGTATAGTTCTACATAGTCCGATAAAATATTAATGCTTCATTAAATTTTTAAAACAAACCTTAAGAAGTTCCGTTGATAATGATTTTATGGTAGCTTCAAGTTTTCCAAGTTGTACCTGATTTTTCTCACCATTTTCTTCTAAAGCCACCTGATAAATATTTTTAAAAACAAGAATAATTAGGAAATTTGTTTAGGAAAAGCATCACATTATATATGTGATTATCAATTTGTTTACAAAATTTTAAAATAAACCTTTTGTTCCTGGATTGTATCAAATGCTTCTTTTGTTCTTAATACAAGCTGGTCCTTATCCTTAATTTCTTGTTCTAAAACAGCCACTTTTGTTTGCAGCTGATTAATATGCTTTTCTTTTTCATGACATTCAGCATCTAGTGTAGAATTCTCTCTTCGCAAGGAGAGAACTTCTTGTTTAGTCCGCTGGAGCTCCTAGAGGAGGTAAAAAAAAAAGATGCATTGTGAAAAAGAGAAGTTGGCTGACATATTTATGATTAAGATGTTTAACATATAAAGTGTTTAATAATTTTAAAGTTCTAATGTAAATATATGTATGCCTTACTATTAAGATGTACAGCTGAAACTTGCTGGATTTTGTTAACAAATGTCACCATAAACGAATGAATGAATCAATCAAAAAGTGCAAAAATAATAATAAATAATAAAATAAGATAAAGACCCACTGGCGCAAAAAATAAAAAATAAAAAAAATAAAGTTCTAGTACTAATGTTTTTTAAAGGACATGAAAATCTCTTCAAGATTTGGAATACAGTTGTAAAACACATTAATAACTAATTCAATAACAAGGAAAAATAAAACAATCCTGATTTGTAAGTTACTACAAGTTTCAAAAATGAGTGACAAGAATTTTCTGATGTCTTGAAATTTAGTTTTTAAAACTTACTTAGGTAATAAATGTTCATTATAACAGAATTTCAAAATACATAACATTTATAAACCCTAGCATTCTACCATCTAAGCAGTGACTCTCAATCTAATCTGCATACTGAAACCACTTGGGAAGTTTTGTAAACCACTGTACTTGCTTTATTGCAGTGGTCTGGAACCGAATCCAAAACACCTCCAAGGTATGCCTGTACTGCTGCCTGGTACCATCCCCAAGATTCTGATTTAGTTAGTGTGAGGTATAGCCTCGACACGAGGACATTTACTAGCTCTCAAATTGATTCTAAGTGTAGCCAAGGGTGAGAACCATCATCTAAAGTTAACATTTATCTCTGTTGCTCATACATACAGGTTTTTTTAAAAGGCTCACACCATGCAGTCTTATAATCTATCTTCTTCATATTTATATATATAACATACATACATATAAAACAAATGTTTCCATGTTGACAAATATGTAAACCTTTCTTTGGTTCACTCTTAAAAGCAAAACAAGCAAACAGTAACTACTAATTAAAAATTGACAAAAAAGTCTGAAACATCACTTCCCAATTGGCTAAAACCAAACCAAATTTTGCTAGTATAGAAAAGTCAAGTATATAGTATTCCTAGATAATTTTTGTTTTTAACAAAAACTTCGCAAAATAATTTCACAGTATTATACCACTGTGATTTTAGAAGCATAGACTTTGGTATCAGACAGACCTGAATACAAATCTTGGCTATTCCGTGTTATCTTTGGAATTACTTAATCTCCCTAAATCGCAATTCCTTCATTTGTAAAATAAAACACTTCATAGATTTCATTTAATCTTCACAAAAACCCTTATGTAAATTTAGCGTTTTGCCTTAGCATTTTGCCTGGCGCATAGGAAACACTCAACAAATGGTAGCAATTATTTTTAGTGCACTATTGCCTAAAAGGTATAATTTTACATAATTAGGTAACAGTACTCAGAGGTTAAAGAGTCTCCAGAACTCATTTGCAAGTCTTATGCAAATCTTGGAAGAAATGTTTTGATTAGATTGTATACAAATCAACATGATGAAGCATTGTTTATACACTGGCCAGTTTCAGGGCTAAGATAGAAGAATTAGCATTATAGTGAAGTATTTAGACTATCTAATGTAATATGAAGACTGAAGCTTCAAGGTGAAGAAGGTAGGGAGGATTAACTAAAGACATCTATTCTAGGGGCAGAATGCTATCAGGATCTGAAGACAAAATTGGTCAGGCTTTAGAGTTTCCAAGCCCAACAGACTGGTGAAATAGAGATGGAACTTTTGTGAGTTAGAACAACATGGCGATCTTTGCATTTAAGTATGATAGACAAGAAAATCCACGTCTTCTGATAATTCATATGACAATAATGTATAGTAATGCTAGGAAGGAGTCTATCATCAATGCCAAAGCATCAACAAATGTGTCACCACAGCAAGATTTGTTAAAATTTCTCTGCTGCCTGAAAGAACAAGGCGGTAATAGTAAAGACAGGCAAATAATAGAGGGTTCCAATCCTTGCTCTTCCACTTACTGGCTATGTAACCTTGGGCAAGTTACTTAACTTCTCTTAGTTTCATCATCTGTAAAATGGGCACAATAATAGTACCTCCTTTAAAAGAATGATTATAAGAATTAAATGAGTTAATATATGTAACGCATATAAAACAGTGCCTTTCACATAGCAAATATTCAGTAAGCATTAGCAATTATCGTTGCTATTATTATCATTATTATTACTAGATACTAAACTTCATTTTTTTGATATGTTGAGTAGGCTGAAAGAACTAGCTCTGTCAACACTGAGTACCCTGAGCTACAGAAACTGTGCTGTTCAAAGTGCACTGAAAAGTCTGAGGGCTGTGCCAAAGCTGCTCTTCAAGCCTCTAACCAAAAATATCTAAGTTTACTTCCGTTCTGTTTGGAATTAGCCCTTTCTATCAGATTTCAGATTCTCAATGTTTTTGCAGCATCCGAACTGATCACTCCACCACCAGAGAGATCCTCGCAGAGATCCGGAGGAGCACTGCCCGCACAAATAATAAAATAACCAAATTAAAACCAAATCATCATATTAAAACATTCTTTTATACTGGGCAGAGGGGAGTAATCCAATGCTCGATACCTCTTCAACACCAGACAGTTTTGCCTTTAGTTCTCTGATGGAGGAGTCTCCTTTATATTTCCTTTCAGTTAGGTCTTTATTAGTTGCTTCTAACTCAGACAATCTGTTCTGTAGCTGCTGGACGTTTCGTTGATGCAGGATTTCTAAATCTTTTTTCTGTTGTTCATGCTGCTGTTGGTATTGAACTTGTGCCTATTAAATACCATAGTACCAAAATTCAAAGAAAAAAACAGAAATACATATATAAGAAGATTTGAAGAAAAAACAATTCTTCTATATAATTGTAAGATTTCCCTGTTCACTATGTCTCATTCATAATTTGTTACATATGTTTAGATGTAACAGTCTTCAGATTAAGGGAAGAATGAGATATGATCAAAAAACTAAGAACAGAATTACCATATGACGCAGCAATTCCTCTTCTGGGTATTTACCCAAAAAACTCGAAAATATTTATCTGCAAAGATATATGCACCTCGATGTTCATAGCAGCATTATTCACAGTGGCCATGACAAGAAAACAAGCGAAGTTTTCATCAACAGATGACTGGATAAAGAGGATGTGGTACATATGCACAATGGAATATTACTCAGCCATAGGAAAAGATGAAATACTGCCATTTGCAACCACATGGATGGAACCTGAGATTATCGTGCTAAGAGAAATAATTCAGACAGAAAAAGTTGAGAACCATATGATTTCACTCATGTGTGGGATAAAACTGAAAGCAACAAACAAACATGACAAACAAGCAAAGACTCATGGACACGGAGAACGGATTACTGGTTGCCAGAGGAAAGCAGGGTCGGGGTGGGGCGGGGGGGAGGTAGATAAGGGTAAAGGGGTCAAATATTTGGTGACAGAAGGAAATTTAATTTTGAGTGGTGAACACACAATCCAATATACATATGACATTATTGTACACTTGAAACCTATTTGATTTTGTTAACCTATTTCACCCCAATAATTTTAATAAAAAAGAATGATATATGATTTTAAAAAGCAAACCTCAAAACAGTATAGTGTGAACCTATTTGTATAAAAAAAATTAGTAGGTACATAAGAAACTTTCAGTATTTGCTTTAAACACTATTGTACTGTTTCAGTTTTTTACAAGTATATATGTTTCATAATGAAAAAATAAATACCTAAAGTTGTGGAATCAGCAAGGTATTGTTCATTAGTTCAATCTTACATTTAGTACATTCTACCAAAAGTAAAATTTAAACCTGGTGTTAACTGTGTAATCTCTGGTGCTTGTTTGAATCAAACCACAGACCTATTTTAATAATTTTCTATTGAAGAACAGTATCAAATCCTAAATATCTTTTAAAAATAAAGTATACTTTTCTGATTATGAAAGTTATACATGTTCTTAAAGGCACAAAGAAATCATGAACTCATCCAGGGAGTCACTCTAAAGATTCAGGAATATTTCTTTCCAGTCATTTACATATTTAAATTGACATCACCCCCACCACACACGCACAATATGCATGTGTAAATTTAACAAATTAGGATCAAGTTATTTATATAATTTAATCATGCTTTTTATTCTCTTAGCATTTGTACCTTCTCACATCATTAAAAAACTCTTTGTAAATACTTCAGTAGCTGCACAATATTTCCCCTATAGCTATACTTTAATTCATTTAATCCCTGCCCTACTATAGACAATAAGTTTCCAATTTTTCACAATTACAAATAAAACTAAAACTATGATTAATATTTTTGTACACAGACACTCCCCAAATTCAGATTATTGCCTTATGATCAATTATAGGTCAAAGAACGTAAACAAACATAAAGCTTGATACAAGTTCCAAAACTACACTCCAGAAAAGTGTACCCATTCAAACATTCCTACCACAAGTGGAGGGGATTCTCTCTCTCATAAAATACTTTGGGAATTTTACATTATTACTTTAAGGATTCCCTCATTTTTGGAAAACTGGAAAGGAGAGCAGAAGGGAGCAAAAGAAATAAAACAGGAAAGAGTCCATATAAAACTGAAAATGCAACCTTTGAAGTAAACACTGAAGGAACAATCAAGATGAAAAAAGCAATCTAGCAAAGACGCTAACTGTAATTGTCTAACAGGGTAATCAAACACACTAAAAGCAACAGAGGCCAAAGGAAATAAAAATAAAGTGATCATTAGAATTTTGCCGTTTTTGTTTAAAAATAAAGAAAAAGAAAGGGTGAAGGATAGGATTACAATATTTACATTTTCTATTTTTCAGGCGATTCTGAAGTACATTAAAGTTTTAAAAATCACTGCCCTATAGAATATCAGCAGAAAGAGCAGAGAGCGGCCTGCTTTTAAAGTCTCAAAGGACTAATTCACAATCCTATTAGAAAAATACAGTAAGGAATACAAACAAATCCTTCAGTCAATTTGAATTTATAAACAAATGTTCTTACAATAAGACTTTTAGAACCTAACTTGTTTGAAAATGGAACCCCAAAATGTAGTAAAATGTAGTAAATAACAGCAATTAATGAAACAGAGGTAAAAACAGTTCTCAGTTCCTGAGAACCAATTACTGAAATGAAAAAGTGGTTCTTCAAAAACACTAAAAAAACAGACAAACCATTAAGTCTCATTAAGGTACTATTACACACCCACAGAATGGCAGTGTAAACTAGCATACACACTTTATCTACTAACACTAAACACAGGCCAACACTAGAACCTAGCTATTCCAACCGTAAATATATACCCAAGGAAAATGAGTCCACGCGTTCACAAAAAGAAATGTACAAGAATGTTTACAGTTTAATTAGTAATAGCAAAATATCAGAAATACCAAATGTCTACCAACAGGAAAAAACATAAATTATGGTATGTTTGTATAACAGAATACAACACAACAATAAAATGAAATACACGAGAACAGAACTGAATCTCAAAAATACCATGTCGAGTAAAGGAAGTCACACACAAATAAGTACATACTGTATGATTCCATATATATGAAGTTTAAGAACAGGCAAAACTTATCAATGATGACAGAAGTGGGAAGAGTGAGGACCGCCTGTGGGAGTATGATAGCAATTGAGAAGGCAAATAAAGGAACCCTGAGAGATGGTACACTTTTCTGAATCTTAATTCGTATGAAAGTTACACACAAAAATATCAAGCTGTACCCTAAAAGCAAACATCTAGTGAAGTACATAAAAACAAAAATAAAATTTAATATTAAAAAAGCTATAATATAAAAGGTAAAAAATAAATCCATACTACAAAGCAGTAGAAAAGGATAGTCACACAGAAAAAGCAAAAGATATTAAAAGGTAATCCACAGAATAAAAATGGCTGAGTCATTTTAAAAGATGCTTATCTTTACTAAAAATCTATGGGATATAAATTAGAACTAATGCTACTGTAATACCTATCAGGTGGCAAATATTAAGAAAATTAATAATAGTAACAAGAGTATGAATATATAAGTACTGCCAACACTGTTTTGGGATTCCATTTGGTACACTTCTGGGTGGCAAATTTGCAATATCTATTAATATTTTATATGGGTATACTGCAATCTCATTTCTAGGAACAAAGAATGTTCATTGCAGTATTATTTGCAATAATCAAATTATGAAGCATTTAAATGTCCACCGGTTGGGTAAATAATTTGTTACATCCAAATAATGTATACTCTGCATCCACTAAAAAGGAATATCTGAACTGATAATGACAGCTATGTCACGTTAGCTGAAAAAAGTTAGTCGATATATCCAATAGAACCTCGTTAGTACAGAACAAAAGCAAAATCTACTATGTATGTACATATCTATAATTATATATAATTTACATATTTCAAAATTTATAAACAGTATCTATAAATGTGTTATTTAAAAATATACAAAAAAGTCTAAAAAACACATCAAAATGTTTATAGATTATCTCTAGGTAGTAAGACTTTAAAGGAGAGACTTAATTTTTATATACTTCTGTAAAGTCTGAAAATTTTAAAGCAAGCATATATTACTTTATAATTAACAAAATGACTAACAGCAATGACAAAATATTTTTCCAGTTTTTTTTTAATGTTCATACCTGCAAGGCTTTTTCCTTCTCGTTTGTCAGTTCCTGAGAATGCTTATTTGACAATGCTGCTGTGTGTGATGCCCATTCATTCCGTAACTTATCTAATTCTTGGATTTTTTCTGATAATGTCTGTATTAGAGTTCAATACAAAATATTAAGACAGTCTCCTGAACAGGTTATCAGATTAAAACACGGCAATATTTACAAGGATATTAAAGAAAATGGAATCACAGGTTTCAACACATACTCAAAGATTTTTAAAGTTGAGGAAATTAAGATTAGAAAGCAAGCAACTTTACATCTGAAATGTCCCACTGATCAAGTAATTATGTTTAATCTTTTAGTTAAATCTGGCTGGTAACCACCCAATCCTCTCCTCTGGCATTAAGAAGCAATCCAGGGTAGAGCAAATCAGTCCTAAGAAGTAGCTCATTTATACACATAAAACCTAGTGACACAGAGTACCACGATGGTCCATGTTGTGCAGGATATTTTCTGCCTGAAGTCATGTAGCTTATCAGGTACTTTGGTCCTCAATTTCAAGAACTAGAGGCAAAAAGGTAGTAGCCATAACTGAAATGATGATAAGCCTATCAGATGAATTAATTTTAAACATAACAAAAGAAAAGAAGGGAAAGGTTTACAAGACAGGAGCTGAAAGGCCATTTTAGACAAGAGGAATGAGGTAAGTAAATGAGGGGCAGAGAACTAACATGTGACAGATACCAAATATTATCTTATTTAATGAAGACAGAGGGAATGTGTAATACTGAGGATAACAGAAATGCATGGATGGAACAAAATATCAAAGAGAAAAAGCATTGGATTAAGATAATTAACTGGTAGGGGAAGGGCGGCAAAAAGGAGAGGGAATTCTGTGGTAGTATGCTCTGAAAGAAAAGTACACAAAAGCCTGGATTGGATTCAAGAAGCAATTCAGAGCAAATGTTTGGATGACTTACAAAAACAAAATGAAATTTGAATTACCTTTTGTGCGAAATTCAGTTGCCTAGTGACATCCTCTAGTGATTGCGTCAATGATAATTTTTCTTCCTGTTTATAAAAAAATTAAATTATGTAGTTTACAATTTAACTTAATCATCTAGCTGTGCTAATCAAAGTGTAGCAAAGTTCAGCACCAGCATCACCCTGGGAGTCTGTTAGAAATGCAGACTCTTAGGTCCAACCTCAGACCTTTTGAGTCACAATCTGCATGAGCAAGATTCCCAGAAAATTTGCATACCCTTACATTTTGAGATGCACCAATCTATAGCATTTGCCTAAAGAGATTTTCTGAAAACTCTTAAGAGGCAACCCAATGTTGTTTCTTCATGCCGTACACCTCATATAGTTAGAGTAATATACTTTATTTCATTTAAGATAGGATAGATATTTCCATACATAACTACCAGCTGATGAAAACATCACACCAAGAGTTTAAGTGACCTGCCAAAGATCACTGAAAATTAGTAAAAACCTTGGGACCTAAATTTCTCAATTCCTGAGCCAGTTCTATCCTTGTAGTACCCTGACCAGATGAAAAACAATAAAATAAATTTATTACATGTTATAAAAATTTGCTGGACATCTTTATTCAGAAAACAAAAACTAAAAGCAATACCGCCCTTCAGTGATTTATCAGAGTCCTTTGGTACTTATTTTAAAAGAATAACTTAAATTTAAATCTTACCTTACTACATTTCAAACAGCCTGCTAGAAACTTCTTTATTTCCACATCGCTTCCAGGTAAAAGTTTTAGTGAGAGATGTGTAAGATGCTTAAAAGGATTTGTCTCTACCACATTTAAAAAGGCAGGAGAGTTATCCAAAACAGCTGCAGGAGAAACTAACTGTAACAAAAACCTTTGGAAAGAAAGTATCACATTATATCACATTCATGAGATAGTGAAACTCTCCATTAAATCATGTGCTATGACTCAATGGATCATCAATGATTAGAATGATCAGGAAGAGGGGCATATTGGAATCACAGGGGCCAATATCAAAGAACTCTCAGTGATAAAATTGGGTAAATTGGTGTAAATAGTAAAATGTATAAATGGACAAGAAAAGAGTGACTATATAAACGTCCATGAGTTCAAAATGAGACGAGGGAAAGCAAAAAACTAAAAAATAAATTTAAAAAATCACTGAAACCACAAAAATAACTAGAGTTACAACTCCTTACTTTGAAAATTGACAATTTAAAAGAATAAAGCATTTATTCTTTCCTGTATGAATTTTCAGAGTAATCAAATAGCCCTAATGGAAGAGTTGGGAAGTTCTTCTTTATAGAAAAATTATACCTAATATAGAAAAATAATGAAATTAGAAAAGTATAATCTTGTAGTTCCTAATGAAATAATTAATTCAATCAAGAGCCATTGGTTGATGGACCAATATATAAAATGTTGGTGAACTTTACAATAAAAAGATCATGAATTAGCATGCATGAATATCAATACACAAACACACAAAAGCTTATTCTTCTCTTTTTCCAAATTCCAAGTATATAAAAATATATACTTGATGCTATTAATAGTACTGATTTTAATAGCTGTCAAAAAATGAAAATTAAGGGGTAAATATTTGATTTTAATCATGAGATTAATTCATTAATTTGAGATTCAATGGAGCCCAATCCCAGTTTTAATAATACACAGGGGTACTTAAAATACATAGAAAATATTTTGCCATCCACTTGTCTTATGCAGAAGAGGTTGTCTTAAGAGAAGTTTAATAATGCAGTGTTCTCTTGAGACTTACCTTGGAATTTCTTTGGCATGTTCTTGAGTACATTGCTGAAGGAGATCTATAAATTTTTGTGGGAAAGCTAAAAAGTCTACCAGAAGACCCTGCTGGAATTTTAAACTGTACAGAAGACAGAAAAAGATTTTAAATGTAATTATTATTTTTAATTATACTCAACATCCTGAAAGATTCTTTTTTATTTACTGACTACCCATAATCAAGAAATAAACAAAGGAACTTTTATATTTATAGAATTTATTCAATAAGAGGGAAAAGGTCAATAAATTTAACTAAAGCTCCAATTTTCTGAGATATTTTATTTTTTTTATTGTTTCTGACATATTTTAAACAAAACTCTGACAATAAAATATTTATTTTCAAAAACATTCTGAATAATTATAACTAGTTTAATGTTCCCAAAATACCTAAATGTTCCTACAGGTATTTATTTCAAAGAGAATAGTACCAATACATTCATAAAACTTAAAAACATACTTATTACTAATTATAAGACCAGAAAAATAAATTTAGTTACCTCTGAAAATCTTCCTCAGATATGACAAGGATATACAGGAAAAATGGATCAGTATCATCAGTCAGACGAATAACTAAATCCTAAAAGAGAGAGTAATTTTTAATGTTTTTAGTAAATCTGGCTTTTAGACTAATTTCCTCCTTCTTAGAAGTGAAATCATCCAATAACATTTAATGTATTATCATTATACTTCAGATAACTTTATTTTCTGGTGCTACTGGGTTTTCATTAGTCTTTACAGACTTAAAATCTTAAAAAGGGGTAGATATTCTGCTTCTGAGAGACACATGGGGGTCTACAAAGGTAAGTAAATGCTAGGAGTTTTAAATTTAGGAATATCATCCTAGCAGAGGCTTAGGAAAACTCAGATCCAGCCCTTGCTGAACTATGATACCAGGACAAAACATTCTTTACCACTGACTATATCATATTCAATTATATTTTCGGTTTCTTTCAAGTTAGTTGTCTGGTATTTCAAAAGTGGCAAGTACATCAGCAGAAATTACAAACAATCATCCACCCTAGAAAAAAAGGAGCGTTTGTTTCCCAGGCAGAAGGAGTATCAGGTGACATGTTGCCAGGGCTTCTTCCTAAGAGCCCATTCTCTCCTACTACAGGTGGCCACTGAAGTGGAACCCCATCTGTTTTCAGTTTCAAATGAATTCAATACCGTTCATAAAGACCACTTTCCAGGTATTTAAGTTTACAGTGTGGCAGACCATCACAGCAGCTAAAGCTGACAGAAAAGTACATAGAAATTATGTACTTCAGAGAACAGTGGTATAAAGAAAACAGGTTTAATATACAGATAATGGAGGACTGATAAAGAAATAAACAGGTTTAACATACAGATGATGGAGGACTGATAAAGAAATAAACATTCATGTTAAGAATAAGTGTCCACCTGAAATCTACTTGTGGGTACTGAGGAATTGTTAAGGGTCCTAGAAAAATCTAAACCACTTATGAGTAAAGGTAGAAAATGAAGAGGCATAGTAGGCATAAGAAATAACATGAAAGAAGTGTAATAAATAATCTCTATCCTGGAAAATTAGCAAGCTAGGTATTTGCTCTGCCTCAGAATGCCCTTTTCCTAGGGCAGCTTCCACTGATGTATTTTTTAATTCTTTTTTTTTCAATCAGTTGACATTCGATATTATATTAATTTCTGGTGTACAGCATAGTAGTTAGACATTTATATTACTTACGAAGTGATCACCCATATATCTAGTACACCCTGACACCATACAGTTATTACAATATTATGGACTATATTCCCTGTGCCGTACTTGAAAGTACTTTTGAAATCCACACCAAGGTGCTATAAAAAAAATAAAACTGAAGCTGCTACTAATGCTACTAGATCCTTGAATATGTTTTAGGAAAGCTATGACACAGAGAAAACAGATGCTCTATTTCTCAGCCTTCTATTCTGTACTCACATGTTAATGACTCATACTTTTGAAGACCACAAAGGACTGATGCTCTAAATGCCTCTTCCAAAGGTAACAATTCAAGAATATTTCCCTGCAGAGCTTCAATTCATTCTGTTCTCAAATTTAAACCATGAAAGGCCAATTCTATAGGGTAGCCATAAACATTCTAGCATTCATAACTGTATTGGGCAAACCTAAGGAATCTGTTCTCTCAATCCCCATTTTTGTATACTTTAGAAATATATGGTATAATAATCTCTTGGTTGTTGTCTTAGTATATTCTACCACCATGGATCTGCAAGTTACAAAATGGCCCAAAATTAAAAAGATGGATGTAACAAGATCTCACATTCTTAAAGAACAAAAATAATTACCTATAATGTACAGAAATTATATTTCAAGAAAAATGAATACCAACCTTTCTGTGAACTGGATTAGAAACTGATTGTAGTTCAATGCTCACTCTAACACTTACTCTCCTGTATGAAAAGATATGCCCAACTATCAGAAACAGTCACATGAAATGAGTAATCATTATCATTTGCATTAGCTAAATTTTCCACTTTAAGCTACAACATCTTCCACAGATATTCCCTAACTTATGAACAGATGTTGGCCACTCTGGATTTGAAGTTTAAGGTCTTGTTCTTCCACAAGTAGTAATCAGGTTTTTAACCTGAGGTAAATTTTTATCTCCAGTAAAACAGGGTTCCTGTGAGGATTAAATGAGATAAATGATTTGCAATACCTAGTACTAGCCTGGTATATAATCTTAACGCCCTGGTTCTAAAAGAGCATTTATTGAAAGACAAATCATCAGTTTAATAACTTTGCACATTAAAAATATTACCAATTCAAATAATCGAATGACTTATTAAAAAATGCACTTGAAGAACTTAAAATGTGAATATTAAAATATTGGAATTTTTAGAGTCAAAGAAATGATTCCTACCCTTATGCATATACAATTTTTTTTTTCAGAACCATAGACAACATATGCTCAGTATACTCTCTATGCAATATAATCCACAGAACCATTGTCAACACATTTATTACTATCTGTCTTATCCTAGAATAACTCTAAATCCTAAGAGGAAGAAACCATAGCTTTCCACATTCTACATTGCCCCTTAAAGAATCCAGTATCAAAAAGAAGCGTATAAATAATGGTGCCCATAAACATTAATCAAATTGAACAAAAAAATGAAGAAATTTATTTGAAGAAATAAAGAGAGAAATTAGTAAAAAAAAAAAAAAAAAAAAAATCTCTGCCTAAGTGGTTGGCAAACTATTCTGCTAGAATTAAATAATGGTCTTTCCCTGAAATGCAAGAAAACAAAAAGAATTTGTTCTATTTTTAAGTTTTCTTCTAAAGATGTGTTTCAAACCTTTTCCATATTTTACTACTAATTATCTACTACTGAGAATTGATGGAAAAACTTGGTGATGGTTGACCAAGGCCAGATTCAATGGTTTGGATTTTTTTAAATTCTGACTTGTCTGAATTTAAATTCTGTTATCTGAAAACGAACAAGCAGCACTGGTGAAAACCACGAAGATGGGAAGAACTGTCTTTTAAACAAGAGAATGTTTTGTTTCTATTTCTAGTATCTAGAGCAATAAATGTGAAGCAAATTAGATGCTATTCCAATTACACACTTAAATTAAGCATTCTTGATGGGGAGAATCCTTTCAATTTCCTAATTTGTAAGATAACTGAGGTTTATGAGGGTCTTTTCAGCTCTATAATGTCATTATATTTGGTTTTAATCTTTTGAAGATTTTTTTTTTTTGTACATACTGCCATAGTGGTATGGCATTGTAGTTGGTAACTAAATCACTATGATGAGTTACAGTTTTATAAGTCCTGTCACACTTGATAAACTTGTAAAAAAAATTCAAGAAGCATCCACTTAATATTCTTTAAATACTAGAAGTTATATTAATATGATAATTTCCCCATTATATTAATGATATTCCAAATGTCTATATGCATTAGATGTTGGGAGGAAAAAAAGGAGGAAATGCCCATAAATTAAATCTATTCCCCATGTTTACTTCAACCCCTGCCCCAAAATCTTATAGAAAAATCTAAGCTTTCAGAGGATATACTATCTGAAATTACAAGTCTTATTTTCTCCATTGTCATGGTTAATGCAAATAGCAACAATATAAAACAAAATAAAAACAATTAAAAATGCTATTTCTCAAAATAAATGTCACACTCAACAATGCATGAATCTGCATAACATCTTCCCTGTCAGTTAAATTTGGCATGAGCAGAACTGGATTCCAGCCCACCTCTGCCACCTAGTAGCTGTGGCCTTAAACTCTCAGTTCAAACAAACAAAGGCTACTCTAAGCCAGGTACTGTGCTGGGTGCTAGGGATACAAACAGAAGTAAACACAGTCATGTCCTCAAACTGAGATCAGATTAAATGACTTTACTCCAGATCTGCTTCTGATTGTGTTTTAGGGCTTCAAAAGAGGGGAGGGAAGGGTCACTATAATTAAGTATCTACACGACTAACTGCCAGGTCCCTTAAATATATCATCTTATTTAACAGTAACAATCTTGTTACGTAAATATTATCTCTGTCTTACAAAAGAAGAACCTGAGGTGCACAGTTACAAACCCGGTTAAGGTCACATTGCAGAGTCCAAATTGAAACTCAGATCTTTTACCTACAGCATGTTATTTAATAAATCAATGAGGGTAATTAATTTCAACGTAGGCAACTTTGAAAAGGTCGCTGTGGTGAAGAGATTTAAGACAGCCCTTAAAGGTTATGAAAGATAAAGCATTTGAGGCAGAGGGAAGCATTTGAAGCAGGAGTAAAGTTATGGTACTAGAGATTATCAGGTACATTTAGAAGCTAACGAGTAGTCTAGTGTGACTAGTATATTGGGGCAAGGAGCTGGGAAACAAAATGAAAAAGCACGTTGGTGTCAAATCACAGGCTTAAAAATTTGCATCACTTTCCTCCAGAGTTCTCTGAGCATCGCCACTGTCTTCAATTGAATCTCCTCCTTTTCTGTGACTCTGGTATATTTATATTGCTTCATGCATTAATCACACTTTAATAATGTTTCGTAAATGCTTAGTATGCTCTGGGCACTGTTCTAAGTGAGCACTTTACATGTATTAACTCATTTCATGTTCATAATAATCCCACGAGGCAGGTACTTTTATTATCAACTTAAAAATGGCAGAGACGTTAAGTTAAAAAAAAAAATTGTATAAAATCAGTCAGTATGTGGCAGAACTGGGATTTAAACTCAGACAGTCCAGCTGCAGGGCCTGAACTCAAACCCGTGCTATGCTGTCTCTTCGAAGGAAAATCTTTTGTTTCCCCTATTAAAGGGTGAGTTCTTTAAGGACCAGAATGAAAACGTTTTTTGTTGGTGGTGGTTGGGGGTGAGGAGGCAGAGAGCTTTATAATCTCAGCACCTAGGACAGTTCCTGGTACATAGTTAAGTATTCATAAATTTATTTGTTGAGCTGAACTGCCCTTAAAAACTTAACTGAAGAGTCTGCATTGTTTTTACTTTAGGTCAGGGGTCAGCAAACTTTTTCAGTAAAGGGCCAGGCATCAAATATTTTAGGCTTTGTGGACCATTAGATCTCTGTCACAATTACCCATCTCTGCCCTTGTAGCACAAAAGCAGCCACAGACAATTCTTTAACAAATGAGAATGGCTGCATTCCAATAAAATTTTATTTACAAAGACAGGCAGTGGGCCATCTGGCCCATGGGTTCTAGTTTGCTGGCCCCTGCTATAGGTGACATGAATACATGAAAAGTTCCTAAACAGGAAGAGTGAAAGGCTGAAACAGTGTTTTTAAAAGATAACTGTGTTGATAATATTGACAGAAAAAAAAAATTCTGAGGTGTTCTAAATTAAATTACAGTAGCCAGAGAGTAAGAGAAACAGGAATAAGCAATCAGTTAATACCTGTGTGTCAGCTGAAAAAAGACTGCTCACATTCCTGTACGTCTGTTGGAATTTATGACTAACTTCCAGGGGACGATTTCTGCAATTATCTAAGAGAGAATAGCCAGGAGCCATCAAACCCAAGAAGCTTCCACTTCTGGCTTACACACGAACTTTCCAATTTGTTGCCCACAGGTAATCCACAGGAGCAGATGCTTCTTCCTTTCCGACTCTGCTTAGCCCTGCTTGACCTCCCACCCCCTGAATCTATAGCCAGTGGAAATTCTTTTAAAAACAACTTACATTTTTCATCCCCCTTCTTGATGTATAAAAACTTGCCAACTCCAGGATGGCTTTTTCACCTGGCACTGTTGCTAGTAGCTTAGACTTCATGCCCCAGGACCACCTGGTCTTTTTTTTTTCCTAGCCATGGTCCAATACACTCTTTGTTTTTTTTTTTTGTTTTTTTTTTTTTAAAGACTATCAGCTGTGGAAGTTAAAATGTAATGAGATGAAAAAGAGGTAGGAGTTTCAATGTTGGAATCAGAAACAATGCCCTCACCTTTCTTTCATCTTTTTATAATCATTCTAGAAAGGTTTTGTCCACATGAGCCACATATGCAGTTTTAAATTTTCTACAAGCCACATTAAAAAAATTAAAACAGGTAAATTAGCTTAACTATTTTAACTCAATATACTGCAAATATTGTCATCTTAACATATGAGTAATATAAAAATTGAGATATTTTGCATTCCTTTTTTTTCATAGTAAGTCTTCTAAATACTTTGTGCATATTATTCTCATGGCACATCGATTCCAATTAGCTCCAATTCGAATGTCCAATAACCACATGCGGTTCCCTCGGTGGGCAGCACAAAAGAATGACCAACTGAAATAACCTACAGATCTCCATCCCCAGGTGCAGGTTTTAGTGCTATCTCCTTGCCTGAATTGCCAACGGATTTTGGAACTAATTAAACTATATACTAGTTTCGCATTACTGGCAACTCAATGAACCAATGTCTTCATTTTTTACATCACATTACCACATTTTCATATTTGATCCTCACATGGGTAGGCATGTTATCAATTTTACAAATGAGGAAACTTAAGGTTCAGAGACCGCTCTTGAGTGGTGCAACTGAGACACAATTTAAATCTCCTGACTCCCAGTCAATTCTCTCTACTTAACCCCAATAATATCACAGCCTTAAAGTTGTAACTTCGTTTCCTTGTGAGCTGGACCTTTATTTCCTATCCCGCTGGACAGTAAACTGTACGAAGACAAGAACTGTTTTTCCTGACTACTGTTATCTCCACTGCCCAGCAAGGTGATTTGCAAGTCGGCAAAATTTACTGAATGAAAAAATAAATGAATGGAATTTCTCGTTTCCCTATTCTCTGTAGCCGAATAAATGTAACTTACTTTATTTTTATTAAATGTGAAGAGGCAAGACACCATAATACTAAATTCTCTTAAATTGAAGCTTAGATTTACTTCCAATATGACTCAAAGGAGAGCGTAAAAAAAGGCTGAGGGGTCAAGGCCTGAGTCCTAGAGCCAGCCCTGCCGTGAACTCGCTGTGAGCCCTCGCATAAATTATTTAACTTCTCTGGGTCACAGTTCTTATCTGTCAAAAGCAAAGAGTAAATAAAACTATAATCTCCACGGTTCCGTTCAGAGTTGAGATTTTTTTGTTTGTTTGTTTTGACATTAACCAGATGCGAGTCAGCTTCCCATTTCCTCACACCATTCCGTACCCTCCGCAACGGCCGACTCGGTGAAAGAGGTAACCACTAGGTCCAAGCTGGGTCCGTCTCGGCGTCCCGAGAACACCGGCCCCACGCCCAGCCACAGACCGGTGCCCACTGGCCGGAGCCGCCATCTTCCCCCCTTGGCCCGACCCCAACCGCCACTCGCCGGCACCCGGGAACGCGGACCTCACCTCTCTTCGCAGTCTTTGCACTTCACCTGCAACGGGACTAGCTGCTGGAACAGAACTTGGCTCATGTTGGACCGCTGCCCCGGCGGGTGTGCGGAAAAGTCCAACAGGCCCGACGGGCGGGGCTGGCCTGAAAGCTGTACAAGTCCAGCTAAAGTTTGAGTTTGGCGCTCGGCTTCCGCTGAGGAGGCGGGGAAAAAAATAGACGGAAGGCGAAGGAGGTTTGGGCCCCGCCAGCCACCATCAGCCTTTTCCGGTTTTGCAGGGCGTGGGGTTGTAGTTCCGGGCATTAACGCGTGGCGGGACCCGAGGCAGCCATC